GTTTACCATCCAGCAGAAATTGGGGTCACTGATTGGGTTAATAATATTTATTAAATGAATACATCCAGGAAAGAGAATATGTCTATCTACTGCCCAGCAACAGAATACTATTCTGATATTCTGTCTCCTGAAGTGACCACTCTTGGTTTTATAAATAATGGCTTTCATAAATAATAGATTCTGATTTTCAGAATCTGCAAAACAGATCTCTTTTAAGTTTCCAGTAACAACAACTCTGTGCTCATTCTATTACTAATATTATGATTTATAAAATGACAAGCGATTGAGGTCAGGTGTCCTAAAAGCAGAGCCTGAGACCAGGTTGTGGTGCCCATAATTTATTGAGGGACTGCTTGGAGCAGAAGAGTGAGGGAGTCAGGATGGGGTTGGGAAGTTGGAGGGCAAGGTCATGGTCTCAGCTGGAAGAGACTGCAGCCTGATCCCTCGGGAGCACTGGAGCAATAGTCATACCTCAGAGTTGGTCTCACTTTGAGTCAGGGTCTCTCTCTGTCATCAAGGCTGGAGTGCAGTGATGTGGTCTTGGCTCACAGTAACTTCTGCCTCCCAGGTTCAACCAATTCTCCTGCCTCAGCCTCCGGAGTAGCTGGGATTACATGCATCTGCTACCACGCCCAGCTAATTTTTGCATTTTTAATAGAGGTGCGTTTTCACCATGTTGGCCAGGCAGGTCTCAAACTCCTGACCTCAAGTGATCTGCCCATCTCAACCTCCCAAAGGTGCTTTGATTACAGGTGTGAGCCATGAGCCACTGAGCCTGTTTTTTGTCTTTTTTCAACAGAGTCTGGCTCTTTTGCCCAGGCTGGAGTGCAATGGTGCAATCATAGCTCACTGCAGCCTTGATCTCCTGGGCTCAAGCTATCCTCCCACCTCAGCCTCCCAAGTAGGTGAGACTGTAGTCTCCACATGCTGTCCAGGCTGATCTCAAACTCCTGGTTTCAAGTGACCCTCCCACTTTGACCTCCCAAAGTGCTGAGATTATAGGTGTGAGTCACCGAGCCCAGCCGGGTTTTATTATCTTTGTTTAGCCCATGCCTCATTTGGGCTTGAAAAAAAAAAATCCCACACCAGATTTTTTTTTTTTTTTTTTGAGACGGAGTTTCGCTCTTGTTACCAGGCTGGAGTGCAATGGCGCTATCTCGACTCACCGCAGCCTCCGCCTCCTGGGTTCAGGCAATTCTCCTGCCTCAGCCTCCCGAGTAGCTGGGATTACAGTCACGCACCACCATGCCCAGCTAATTTTTTGTATTTTTAGTAGAGACGGGGTTTCACCATGTTGACCAGGATGGTCTCGATCTATTGACCTCGTGATCCACCCGCCTTGGCCTCCCAAAGTGCTGAAAATCCCACACCATTCTTTAAATCTGGGTTTCTAGCCTCAGTATTGGTGACATTTTGGGCTGGACAATTCATTACTGAAAGGGACTGTCTTTCCCATTGCAGGACGTCGAGTAGCATCTCTGACATCCTGCCACGCATCCAGTAGATGGCAGTAGCACCCAGATCTCCCAATGCCTGACATCCAAAAATGCCTCCAGACATTGTTGACCATCCTGGGTGGGGCCAGAGATGGGAAGGTAGTGGGGTGGGGGGTAGGGGTGGGAGGTAGGGGATGGGGGTGGGGAAATGGGTGGGAGTGGGGGCAGGGGGGTAAAAAAAAACCCCTCCTTGAGAACTCCTGCTTTAAGTTGTCTTTTTAATTGAAAGAAATTAAGCATTGTATCTAGAAGCAAATCAGAATGATGACATTTTAAAGACATTTGTTTCAACACAACTTTAAACATTCAGATCCATCCCCCTCAGGAGATAGACCACGCACCAGCCTTGAACCTGCTCCAATTGAATATGTTACACTATCACTTATCTAGAAGAAAAGAAAATAAAGGCTCATGCCTGTAATCCCAGTGCTTTGGGGTGAGCCGAGGCAGGTGGGTCACCTGAGGTCAGGAGTTCAAGACCAGCCTGACCAACAGGTGAAACCCTGTCTCTATTAGCCGGGCATGGTGGCACATGCCTGTAATTCCAGCTACTCGGGAGGCTGAGACAGGAGAATTGCTTGAACTCAGGAGGCGGAGGTTGCAGTGAGCCAAAATAGGACCATTGCACTCCAGCCTGGGCAACAAAGAGCAAAACTCTGTCTCAAAAAAGAAAAAAAAAGAAAAGAAAATGTTCCACACTCAACACCTATCAGAAAGGTTGTGCTCTTAGCCATAGCTTCCCCAACTTCTGATAACAGAGAGGGAGTTGTAGAGTATAATTTCCTACTTCTCAGCTGGGCTCGGTGGCTCACGCCTGTAATCCCAGCACTTTTGGAGGCCGAGGCAAGGGGATCACTTGAGGTCAGGAGTTCGAAACCAGCCTGGCCAACATGATGAAACCCCAGCTCTACTAAAAATACATGGGCATGGTGGTGGGCACCTGTAATCCCAGCTACTCTAGAGGCTGAGGCAGGAGAATCACTTGAACCTGGGAGGCAGAGGTTGCAGTGAGCTGAGATCATGCCACTGCACTCCAGCCTGGGTGACGGAGTGAGACTCCATTTCAAAAAAATAATAATATAAAATAAAAATAATTTCCTGTTTCTCAAAGACTTTCAAGGGTTTCAAGAGAGCCACTCTTTGTTGCTGTAATTTCCATCGTTCAACCCAATGTTGAATTAAGGGCAGCATCATGAATACAAAATTCTCAGCCTGGACAATATGGCAAAACCCTGTCTCTACAAAGAGTACACATTAGCCAGGCATGGTGGCACTTGACTGTATGAGTCCCAGCTACTTTGGAGACTAAGGTGGGAGGATTGCTTGAGACTAGGAGTTGGAGGCTGCAGGGAGCTATGACTGCACCCCTGTGCTCCAGCCATGGTGACAGAGTGAGACCCTATCTCAAAAAATATTTATATTCTGCAGGACAGAATTCTCTGGTCACACAATTGTACGTGGTGACCATCAATAAAAAAGAGGCAAGGGCCGGGTGTGGTGGTTCATGCCTGTAATCCCAGCACTTTGGGAAGCCAAGGTGGGCAGATCACTTGAGGCCAGGAATTCAAGGACAGCCTGGTCAGCATGGCAAAACCCTGTCTCTACTAAAAATTCAAAAAAATTCTTTGGGAGGCCGAGGTGGGCGGATCACGAGGTCAAGAGATCGAGACCATCCTGGCCAACATGGTGAAACCCTGTCTGTACTAAAAGTCCAAAAAATTAGCTGGGCATGGTGGTGCGTGCCTGTAGTCCCAGCTACTCAGGAGGCTGAGGCAGAAGAATTGCTTGAAACCTGAAAATGGAAGTTGCAGTGAGCTGGGATCGAGCCACTCTGTCTCAAAAAAAAAAAAAAAAAAAAAAAAAAAAAAAAAAAAAAAAAAAGTAAATACATAAAGTTAACTGGGTGTGGTGGCAAACACCTGTAGTCCCAGCTACTCAGGAGGCTGAGGCAGGAGAATCGCTTGAACCCAGGAGGTGGAGGTTGCAGTGAGTTGAGATTGCACCATTACACTCCAGCCTGGGTGACAGAGCAAGACTGTGTCTCAAAAACAAACAAACAAAAAACAGGCAATGAGATGGAACATTGTTGATCTTGAGGTATTCATAACCTGAGCTAGAAAACATAATGGCAACACAGCATGCTTGGCAAAATGTTTAAAAATATATTAATAAAATCGCAACCACAGAAGTTAAATTTTAACATGTGCTGCTCCTCCTTTGGGAGTCCGAGACAGGTAGATCACCTGAGGTTAGGAGTTTGAGACCAGCCTGGCCAACATGGTGAAACCTCGTCTCTACTGAAAATACAAAAAATTAGCCGGGTGTAGTGGGGAGTGCTTGTAATCCCACCTACTTGGGAGGTTGAGGAAGGAGAATCTCTTTTTTTTTTTTTTTTTTTTTTTTGAGATGGAGTTTCACTCTTGTTACCCAGGCTGGAGTGCAATGGCGCGGTCTCGGCTCACCGCAGAGGAAGGAGAATCTCTTGAACCAGGAGGCGGAGGTTGCAGTGAGCTGAGATTGCACCACTGCACTCCAGCTTGGATAACAAGAGCAAAACTCTGTCTCAAGAAATAAAAAATCTCAGGCAAAGAAAATGGGGCAACTGTCAGTGTCTTGGACAAAAGAGCCTGTGCAGGGACAATGCACCCCTAAGCTGGGATGATAATGTTTTTGTATTGTGAAATGCAGCACCCTCTTTAATATCGATCCAAATGGAAGTTGTTGAATTATGTGAATGTGGAGTGATGATGTAACGTCTTTGGGAGCATAAAATACAGCAGAGAGGCCATAAAGGGAACTATGAGCTGAATCCAGATGCCAGTTAGAGTTTCTGGCAAGGTGGTAATAGCTGCAGGAAGAAAATCCACCTCTCCCACCTGCCATCTTTAAAATGTATCCTTTAGGCAGGTGCGGTGGCTCACGCCTGTAATCCCAGCACTTTGGGAGGCCGAGGCGGGCAGATCACAAGGTCACGAGTTGGAGACCAGCCTGGCCAACATCATGAAACCCCGTCTCTACTAAAAATACAAAAAATTAGCCGGTGTGATGGTGGGTACCTGTAATCACAGCTACTTGGGAGGCTGAGGCAGGAGGATCACTTGGGAGGGAAGGAGGGAGGGAGGAAGGGAGGAGGAGGAAGAGCGGGAAGGAAGGAAAGAAGGATGAAAGGAGGGAGGGAAGGAAGGAAGGAAAAAAGGAAGGAGGGAAAGAAAGTGGAGGTTGCAGTAAGCCAATATAGCACCACAGGACTCCAGCCCAGGCAACAGTGCGAGACTCCTTCTCGAGAAAAAAATAAAAATAAAAAAAAATAAAATGCATCCTTCAGACACTTCATTGTACAGGCCACACTACTGGATTCTGCATCTAAGAATTCTCCCAGATGTCCTGTTCCTTCTATGAAGATAAAAAGCCAAAATAGGTGAATGAGCTTGGACTTTTCACAGGAAAGCTAGAAATAGTGACGTTTGTCTGGTCTGCATGCAACCCAGGGGTGCTGTGGATAAACAGGTCAGTTCGTTTTCAGCCACGTAGCAGAGATGAGATGAACCTGTGGCTGCAGTTGCTTGGCTGAATCTGCAGGTGATGATGGAGTATATCCTTTGTGAAAGAATTCTGAGGACTTCCCCACTTCTTCCTACTTAGGGGGAAGAGAATAAGGAGAAAAGGTGAATGAGATTGTAATACCTCAGAAATTAACTGAAACTTCTGACTCGCCCAGAGATGACAAGCTATGATTTCTGTAAGGTGTGAAGCTCAATATCTGAATTTACAACTTCCCACTCTCCTCCAAAAAAACTCCACAATCCTCACACCTGTAATCCCAGCACTTTGGGAGGCCGAGGTGGGTGGATCATGAGGTCAAGAGACTGAGACCAGCCTGGCCAAAATGGTGAAACCCCGTCCCTACTAAAAATACAAACATTAGCTGGGCATGGTGACACATGTCTATAGTCCCAGTTACTCGGGAGGCTAAGGCAAAAGAATTGCTTGAACCCGGGAGTGGGGGATTGCAGTGAGCCGAGATTGTGCTACTGCACTGCAGCCTGGCGAAAGAGTGAGACTCTGTCAAAAACAAACAAACAACAACAACAACAACAACAACAAAACAAAACTCCGCTCTCTGTAATGGTCATTTATTTTATCTTTTCACAAACATTTACAGGGGCTTCCTGTGCTGCCAGGCATTCTTCCAAGTGCTTAACTTATTTGACATCATTTAGTCCTCACGATGAGAGGTGCTACCCTGGCTGAGAAGCTCTCTGTCCCAAAATAAAGCTCCTGTCTCTTGAAACAGCTCTGTGGGCTCAGCATTCAGGCTGCCGCAGGGACAAACCCAGTTTCACAAGTCACAGCACACAGGAATCTGTGGTTTCTGACCAAAGTACTTAGACTCTTCCTAGTCCTCCAAATCTAGACAATTTCACAAATCAGAGGGTTTCTTTTTGTTGTTTGATTGAGACCTTACTCCAGGTGTCCCCAAACTTTTTACACAGGGGGCCGGTTCACTGTCCCTCAGACCGCTGGAGGGCCGCCACATACTGTGCTCCTCTCACTGACCACCAATGAAAGAGGTGCCCCTTCCTGAAGTGTGGCAGGGGGCCGGATAAATGGCCTCAGGGGGCCGCAGTTTGGGGATGCCTACTCTCTCACCCAGGTTGGCATGCAATAGCACCATCTCAACTCACTGAAACCTCTGCCTCCTGGGTTCAAGCGATTTTCCTGCCTCAGCCTCCCCAGTAGCTGGGACCATAGGCGCATGCCACCACACTGGGCTAATTTTTGTATTTTTAGTAGAGATTAGTAGAGATGAGGTTTCACCACATTGGCCAGGCTGGTCTTGAACTCCTGACCTCGTGATCTTCCCTCCTCGGCCTCCCAAAGTGCTGGGATTACAGGCGTGAGCCACTGTGCCTCGCCAAAGTCATTTTTATCATACACAGCCTTCAATTTTCAATCAAGTGCCAGCTTCTTGTAGTCACTTTATTTAAAACTGGAATCCTTCCATCCTGTCACTCCTGGCTGCTCTCCATTGCTCTATTTTTTCTTTCTAACATTTATGTTTTTCTAACAAACAATAAAATTCACTTTTGGTTGTCATTCCCTGCACCCAACTAGAATGTTAGCTCTGTGAAGTCAAGGACGACTGTCAGTGTTTCCACTAATGGTTCTCTAGCAGCTAAACAGTGCCTGGCCCAGAGCAGACAATAAATATTTGTTAAATGAATGTTGTTAATAAATTTTAAAAATTATTTTTTGTTAAATATCCTTTGGATGTTTGTTGAAGGAAGAAATGAGAGAGGAAGAGGAGAGAGGGATAGAAAGAACGAAACAGAGAGAAGGAAGAAGGGAGAGAAAAAGAGAGATAGTGAAAAAGGCAGTGAGAAAGAAAATGTAAGGAAGGAGAGGGAAACCAGGAATGAGGGAGAGAAAGAGACTGAGGGAGAACAAGAAGAAAGGAAGAAAAGAGGGAGGAAGAGAGGGAAGGGGGAAGGAAGGAGGGAGGGAGAGAGAGGGAAGGAGGGAGGGGGAGAGAGAGAAGGAGGGAGGGGGAGAGAGAGGGAAGGAGGGAGGGGGAGAGAGAGGGAAGGAGGGAGGGAGAGAGAGGTAAGGAAGGAAAGAAAGAAAGAAAGAAAGGTTCTGGTTTTGGTCTCAAAACCCAGAGACTTCAGCTGCATAATACAGTAATCTAATGGAATTTCTCTCTCTCTCTCTCTCTCTCTTTTTTTTCCAGATCAAGAAACCAGGAAGCTTCAAGAGGCATGAGATGTTGGGTTCCAGTAAGGTACTCAGAAGGAGCTGATCTTACCGTCTTGGTTTGGGTAGTAGAGCGCGACATCTCAGTGCTTTCAGTTTCTGCCCCTTTCCGCATCCCACTAAACCATTTTTTGTATTCCATTCGCACCTGGAAATTTGAGTGGAGAGGTCCGTGTTACATCCAGAGCTTGGTTTAGAAGAAAGGATCCTAAAATGCAAGGCTAAAGATCAAGATACCAAACCCTGCTTTCTTTCTAGTTTTCCACATAATCTTGGCCGTGCTCTTGATTCATTTTATTTAAACCTTGTAAAAAGGTGTATATTAAATGTCAGACACTAGGACTCAATAGATGATGATTGATGATGGTGATGAAGGTGACTGTTGATGATATTGGTGGTGATAATGAAGGAAACTAACGAAGTTGATGGTGATGATGAAGAGGAAGGTGATGGTAGTGGTGATGATGGTGATGATGAAGGTGATAATGCTGAAGGTGATAATGCTGAAGGTGATGATAAAGATGATGAAATTCATGGGGAAGGTGATGGTAATGGTGATGATGGTGAGGGTGATAATGAAGCTGATAATAGTGATGATAAAGATAAAACTAACAGTAGTGAAAGTGACGGTAATGATGATGACAAAGATGATCATGATGATGGTGATGTTGATGAAGGTGAAGGTGATGATGGGTCATGGTGATGGTGATGATAGTGATGATGATGAAAGTAATGTAAAGATGATGAAGGTGATGATGCTGAAGGTGGTGATGATAAAGGTTGTGATGACAGTGATGATAATAAGGGTGATAATGAAGGTGATGGTAATGGTGATATTGGTGATGAAGGTGACTGATGATGGCGGTGGTAATGAAGGTAATTAAGATGATGATGCTGATGGTAATGGTGATGATGGTGATGATGAAGATGATAATGATGAAGGTGATAAAGGTAATGAAATTGATGATGGCAAAAGTGATGGTAATGTTGATGGTGAGGGTGATGATGATGATAATGAAGGTGATGGTAGTGATTATTATGTTGTAGGTGATGATGATGGTGGCGATAGCGATGATGGTGAAAGTGGTGATGATCATAATGAAGGTTATGGTAATGGTGATGATGGTGATGATGATGTTAAAGGTAATGCTTAGATGATAATGCTGTGGTGTTGGTGAATGTATGATAGTGAAAGTCACCATTTATTGAACACTGGCCATATTCAAGACCTTGTATATGCAATATATCACTTAATTCTTACATAAATGGAGTGAGAAAGACATTTCTCCTACCCACAATTAAAGGTGAAGAAGTTGAGACACTTGCAGGTAAATCGACATGCCCAAGGTCACACAGCCAGCACTGGAAGCCTTGCCATTCTTACCCAGAGCCCTGACGCTAACCATTACACTCACCCATCCTCTGTGGTTCCAAGAATTGCGTGTGATTTCAAGAATTGCCTTACTCTTAACCTCCTTAATATGCTAAAATGACATTTAAAGATTTAATGCCCAACATTGTTTTACAAAGACAAATTATATTTTACTTCTGTAAGAATTGCCAAGCATGAAGGCACTAAAAGATTGCAGAGAAATGAATGATGTGTTAAGATAGCCTTTTTTGCCACTAGCACCTTAACTGCTGGTAGTTTTATTCAACAGCAAAGGGAAAACACCGGGAAAACTGGTCCTAATTTTCTATGGAGAGTAAAATTGAAATAACAACTCTCACTGAGGTCTTAATATGTGCCAAGGACTATGCTAGGAGATTGCACTGATTGATTCATTTTAATCTTCAAGCGTCTGCTGAAGGCATCACCACATTTGCAGATGAGAAAACTACAGATGATGCTCAGAAAGGATAAGCAGTTTACCCAGAGTCACACAGCCACCTACTCAGTGGAAGAACTGGTATTAGACTTGAAGTCTCTTTGAGTTTGTGGGAAGATTATTCATCCCTGAAGTATGGTCATGTGACTTTCTTTGACCAATTAAATGAGCAGAACAGAGGTGCCTGACTACGCGGTAGAATCTTTAAGAGAGCTAAGCTATGCGTTCCCACAGTCTCCCTTTCCTGTGCCATGAAACCATTACTGTTCTAAAGAGGGGGCCACAGCTTCAGCCTGCATCCCAGAGGAAAGACAATGTGGGTTAAGTCACAGTTATGTAGCACAGGCAAGATATAAACATTTATTGTTGTAAGTTGCTAAGATTGAGTGTGGGAGGCAAGGGGCTATTTGTTATTGCCGAATAATCTACCTTATTCTGACTGATCCATGCTCTTCAGAGATATGTTAAAAAACTAAACTGATGAAACTCACAGCATATCCCAGCAGCACCTAAACCCTCATCCCCAAATCAAGGCAATCCCAAAATACAATTATAAAAGGTCAGGGAAGAGTGAGAATGTGAACGACATTCAGTTAGACTTTGGGACTAGGCTGATAACAGGGAAAATAATTACCCTTACCTGGCGATTAAGGAGGCAGTGTACCACAAAGAGCAACACTCCCTGAAGGACGTTGATGATGGTGAATGAGTATGCAATGATTGATCCAGTCGTCTTCCCTACTTCTTCAACCATAAAAAAGCCAAGGCCCCAAGAACAGCCCAGGATAAATAGTTGAGCAATGGCTTTAAATGTCATGACTCTGCAGGGAATAAAAGTAATAACTGCGGTTTACTAGGTATTCACTACAAGTGTAGTTAATATTAGCGCTAACTAAATGCTTTGTGTGCATTCCCTTATTTAAACCTCACAACAGCTTCATGCAGTTAAGCAACATATACGACAAGGTCACACAGCGTGAGGATGAAGCGGAACCAATGGTTTCAATCATGGCAAATCCCTGAGAATAGTGCTCCCCCCAGGCACCCCCCCCACCTCCCATTGAAAATAATTTGATTTCTCTGCATGTCTTCTGCCTAGACTTTTGGAAGATTTATGGGAAATGCCTTCTAGAAATTTGTATTAAAAAATTGAATAATGGTGAATTCCTGACTTTAGAACATAACATAATGTTTTGTTTCTTCACACAAAAATATATTGTTTCATATAATGGAGTGAGATTGTTGATGGCAGCTGGCTGGGAGCGCTAATGAGTGTGTGTGTGTGTGTGTGTGTGTGTGTGTGTGTGACAGAGAGAGCAAGAGCGAGAGCGAGAGAGCGAGAGAGCGAGAGAGCGAGAGAGAGAGAGACACTTTGTGTTACGCCCATGGAAATATAAACTCTCTGAGGGCATATTAATGACAGGCTTTGTCTGTTTCTCACTGCTGTATTTCCAGTCCCTAGAACAATACCTAGCATATAGTAGATACTCAATAAATATATATATTTTTTGAGGCAGAGTTTCACTCTTTGTTACCCAGGCTGGAGTGCAATGGTGCGATCTCGGCTCACCGCAACCTCCGCCTCCTGGATTCAAGCAATTCTGCCTCAGCCTCCCCAAGTAGCTGGGACTACAGGCACGCGCCACCATGCCCAGCTAATTTTTGTATTTTTAGTAGAGACGGGGGTTTCACCTTGTTGACCAGGATGGTCTCGATCTTTTGACCTTGTTATCCACCCACCTCGGCCTCCCAAAGTGCTGGGATCATAGGCGTGAGCCACCGCACCCAGCCAGTACTCAATAAATATTACGGTTTGTGATAAGCTTGCTAATTAGTCCTTCTTGTTCCTCATTTGGTTCCTAGGTTTTCCACAGCTGCTATCTAGCTTGGCAGTTTTTCTTATACCCAGCCCTTCTTCCATTTATGCTTACAGAAAAGACAGACAACCTACCTAGGTCTACCTTTAGGAGATGACGTCACTGGCATATCAGGATTCTCCCATGACAGCTTTTTGTTTGGCCTAAATGGTGCCATATGGCTTCATCTCACTGACTATAGCCAGTTGCCCCAGTGAAGATCCCTGACCTATAAGGAGTCAGTCGATCAATTCCCCCCTTCCCCTCCCTCCCCCCAGCCAACCAGCTTTTCTCTCTAAGCATTTGAAGTAAGAGGCTTGGAGAATGGACCTGTGAGACCCCTTTGGGGTGGCTCTGCCCTGCCGATCAGCTGTGGGAAGTCAGTCTGCAGGGAGAGAGGACAGAAGCAAGGTGAAGGAGAAAAGGGAGCCATAGATAGGCGATTCTGTAGTGCAGTGGTTCATTCTGAAGCTTAAAAGGCAAAAGGACTCAAGTGGATGGGGGCTTCTAACAGATCTGGACCAAGTCTCTTGATTCCTCTTTCCCTACCTCCCCTTCCTGCCATGATATCTGAAATTTCTAGAATCTAACTCCTTCCTATTGAAAGAGCACAATGTTTCCATGATGTCAGTGTTAATTTCAGATTTATTACTTAGGAAACAGACAAGATAGTTAACCTCTACCCCAAAGGATGACATTAACTTAGCATAGCACAACAGGAAAACAGTCTATTCACCAGCAAGAGGAAGAAGCTAGCAGCAGGGCATCACTGCTGGGGATTAGATCAGACATGGGGCATGCTGTTTGCAGTTCTGAGGAAGAAGTGAGACATTTGAGGGTAAGGAATTGAGAAATAGGGGAATGGAGAAATAGAAGGGTGACACTTTGATCCGCAAGGATTGAGGAAACCAAGGTTAAGAAATGTCAAATTGGTCTGATAAGTAAGTAGAGGAGACTAGACACAGGGTCTGAAATTAGACCGATAGTCCTTTAATTTTCATGCACATGACTCACCAATGCAAGATCTTTACCCACTCTTGGGTAAGGTGAGCTGCTGGCTCATCTTATCAATGAGGGTATTACCAGCATTCACCACATGGGTTGAAATTATCAGCATTCTGTGAAATAATATTGGTAAATGCCCAGCATCTATCAAGACCCTATTTAATACTTGTTTTTGTTAATTATTTCTAATAGCTTAGATTGGTACCCATGAGAACTGAGTTTCTACAGTGAAAGAAAGTGTAGTCCAGAGGAGTATGGACTCCTGGTGGAGTCGGAGGAGGATGTTGATACTCTTGAAATTAATTTCATATGAAGAGTATGTAATACAAAGGAGGTACTTGATGAATTTTTTTTGTTTTGTTTTGCTTTGTTTTCGTTTTTTTTTTTTTTTTTTTTTTTTTTTTAGACAGGATCTCGCTCTATTGCCCAGGCTGGAGTACAGTGACATGATTCTAGTTCACTGCAGCCTTGACCTCCCAAGCTCAAGTGATTCACCCTCCGTACTTTCCCAAATAGCTGGGACTGCAGGTGCACACCACTATGCCCAGCCAATTTTGTAAATTTGTTGTAGAGACAAGGGTCTCAAATATGTTGCCCAGGCTGGTCTTGAGGACCTAGACCAGGCATCCCCAAACTTTTTACACAGGGGGCCAGTTCACTGTCCCTCAGACCGTTGGAGGGCCACCACATACTGTGCTCCTCTCACTGACCACCAATGAAAGAGGTGCCCCTTCCTGAAGTGTGGCAGGGGGCTGGATAAATGGCCTCAGGGGGCTGCATGCGGCCCGTGGGCCGTAGTTTGGGGATGCCTGACCTAGACTCAAATAATCCGGTCTCCTTAGCCTCCCCAGGTGCTAGGATTACAAGTGTGAGCCACTGCACCCAGCATGAATATTTATTGAATAAGGAAATAAAGTAACCTGAAAATCAGAGTTTCTATTTCTTCTATAAATTGTCCTTCACATACTCTTTATCATGTACCAGAATAATTTATATCAATTTCTGCATGGGTTATTTCTTTCCCCAAAATGTGGTCATGTAGAAATAACGTGTGGGTACCACGGCTTCTGATGCCTTCTTACCTGGTGTCCTGAATGGTGGAAACGTCTTTATTGAGGGAGGAAAGTTTGCTTCTCAAAATCCACAGAATTTGGAAGTAGAACACCAGATTTATCTGTGGAAACCGCATGAAAAAAAATGACTTGGAATTTTCATTTGGAGCCATTTTATATAATCTAATTTGAGGATGACCTAAGAATCTTTTCCCAACAGATACAGGTTTTATAAAGATGGTATGCACACATATTCTGCTCTATTATGTGCAACACACAGCAAATACCCTGTAGTTGCATTTGGTGCTTGATTAGGGTGACTATACAACTTATCATTCAAACCAGGCCACTTTGAAAGTGGAAGGGTGCTGTTAATGTCTCTACCAGGGAACAGTTGTCATCAGAAAGTCCTGGCAAACAGGAAACCATGTCACCCTGTGTAGAGACACCAACAGTTAAATATATGTTGAATGAATGAATACAGCATTTTGAAAAGAAGTCCCAGGAGAGGTGATATTACTACATCAAAGCAACAAGTGAGCCAGGAGAAATCCAAGGAAAGAAAAGTGAGGACAGTACTTTCAGGAAGAGGGGTTGATCACATTAGGCTGTATTTCCTTATCTTCTTATATCCCCTTTCACAGATAAGAAACCCATTTTGTATGCTTGGTCAACCCAAGGTGGGCACACCCATAAATAAGTATCGCCTACCAAAATAATGACTGCCACTGGCCCCATGAAGCTCCAGATGAATCCTTTATCAAGCTTGAGCCAGCAGCTGTTGAGAGAGAGAAGCATTAGCTGCCTCTTCCTTGGGAGAAGGCAGAGAGCTTGAATGTCAGTGCAAGACCTGAACAGGGCCAGGAGTTGCTTGACTCAGAATCCTGAATTTTAGATGAAGTCAGATGTGGGCCCTCATCTCACACAGATATATGCTCTGAGGCTGAGTTTTCTCAAGGTTATAGTAGGAATGATCAAAGTACTGGAAAGATTAAATGATTACTGTAGCTGTATACTGAGGCTCGAAGCTGGGTATTGCCAGTTCTGTGGCTTCGTTGTTCTCTTAAATAGTGTTGGCCATTCTAGGTCTTTTGCCTCCTTTATCTAAACTTCAGAATCAGTTTGTCAATAGCCACGAAATAATTTTTTGGGATTTTGAGTTTGGAAGGTGTTGGATCTGTAGGTCAAGTTGGGAAGAGCTGATATCTTGACAACATTGAGTTGTCTTATCCATGAACATAGACTATCTCTTTATTTGGATGTTCTTTGATTTGTTTTTTCATCAGAGGATTTTGTCATTGCTTTCTTTCTTTCTTTCTTTCTTTCTTTCTTTTTTGAGATGGAGTTTCGCTCTTGTTACCCAGGCTGGAGTGCAATGGTGTGATCTCGGCACACCACAACTTCCACCTCCTGGGTTCAGGCAATTCTCCTGCCTCAGCCTCCTAAGTAGCTGGGATTACAGGCACGCGCCACCATGCCCTGCCAATTTTTTGTATTTTTAGTAGAGACGGGGTTTCACCATGTTGACCAGGATGGTCTTGATCTCTTGACCTCGTGATCCACCCGCCTCGGCCTCCCAAAGTGCTGGGATTACAGGCTTGAGCCACCACACCCGGCATCATTGCATTCATATAGAATTTGTAGGAAAGATTAAATAAGATAATGTGCTTGAAGTTTTTCAATAGAGTTCCTAGCAATGAATTAACGGTAATAAATGTAGTTAGCAGGTCAATAATGATTGCTATAATGAGCAAGAGAGTAAAAACAATAATTTAACTACAGCTACAAAAACCAACTCTGATTAAGCATATTCCATGCACCAAGTACTCTGTTGTCCAAATAATTTGTATTCTTTTTTGGCTTATGATAGCAAAGGTAGTATAACTTACTTTATTTTACTTTTTTGAGATGGAGTCTCACTCTGTCACCCAGGCTGGAGTGCAGTAGTGTGGTCTCAGCTCACTGCAACCTCTGCCTCCTGTGTTCAAGCGAGTCTCCTGCCTCAGTCTCCTGAGTAGCTGGGATCACAGGTGTGTGTCACCATGCCCAGCTAATTATTGTATTTTTAGTAAAAACAGGGTTTCACTGTGTCGGTCAGGCTGATGTCGAACTCCTGACCCCGTGATCCGCCCACCTCAGCCTCTCAAAGTACTAAGATCACAGGTGTGAGCCACCATGCCAGGCCTGGATAACTTTTTTTAAAAGAGAACTTGAGAGCCTGACTCCAACTTTTGGTAGGCAGAAAAGCATCCAAACTTAAGTTCTATTCCAAGGGTTGCCAGCTATGGCCCATGGGTCAGATCCAGCCCACCACTTGCTTTTGTAAGTTTTATTGAAGGACAATCATACTCATTCATTTATGAGTCAACAATGCTGCTTTCACACTACATGGGCCACCTTGACTAGTCACCTCAGTGGCCCCGTGGCCTGCAAAGTCAAACATGTTTACTATCTGGCCCTTTATAAAAAATGTTGGTCAACTCCTCTACCATTTTATCTCCAGCATTCTGGCAGGATGTAGAGTTGAAGCTGGAAACAAAGCATCTCTTTGACTTTAAGAGGGATAACATTGGGAGGCCAAGGCAGGAGGATCACCTGAGGTCAGGAGTTCAAGACCAGCCTGGCCAACATGGTGAAACCCTGTCTCTACTAAAAAATACAAAAATTAGCTGGGCACGATGGCAGGTTCCTGTAATTTCAGCTACTCAGGAGGCTGAGAGGGGAGAATCGCTTGAACCTGGGAGACATGGTTGCAGTGAGCCGAGATCATACTACTGCACTCCATCCTGGGCGGCTGAGCCAGACTCCGTCTAAAAAAAAAAAAAAAAAAAAGAAGGACAACAGCATCAGACATTTTGTTTTAGTGTATGTACAACCTACTTCCAAACCCAAGCAACATTACCTTGGGAAAGTTTATGAAATGCACTCAGACCCAGGCGTCCTATGCATAAGAAAATTAACTGCTGGCAGTGTGCAGTGGCTTACACCTGTAATCCCAGCACTTTGAGAGGCCAAGGCAGACGGATCACAAGCTTAGGAGATCGAGACCATCCTGGCTAACACGGTGAAACCCCCATCTCTACTAAAAATACAAAAAAGTTAGGTTAGCATGGTGGCACATGCCTGTATTCCCAGCTACTCAGGAGGCTAAGGCAGGAGAATCGCTTGAACTTGGGAGGCAAAGGGTACAGTGAGCCAAGATCACACCATTGTACTTCAGCCTGGTGACAGAGCAAGACTCAGTCTCAAAAAAAGAAAAAGAAAAGAAACTACTGACTTCATAGGGTCATGGTGAGAATGGCATGAGCTACTTACTTCATAGAGGAAGCACTATTTCTCATGCATCATAGGCCTTTGATAGTTTTAATAATGGTGTTTTTCTTTACATCTTGGATACTCTCAGCCCATTACACCTACTCTTTTAGAATCCAGCAGAACATGTAGCCCATGAGTTCTTAATGTGCGGTTCTGAATTTTCTTTTCTTTATTTTTATTTTTTGATGACATTTCATTCTTGTTTCTCAGGCTGGAGTGCAATGATTCGATCTTAGCTCGCCGCAACCTCCACCTCCTGGGCTCAAGCGATTCTCCTGCGTCAGCCTCCCAAGTAGCTGGGAGTACCGGCATGCACCACCATGCCCAGCTAATTATTTGTATTTTTAGTAGAGAAGGTGTTTCACCATGTTGGCCAGGCTGGTCTCAAACTCCTGACCTCGGGTGATCTGCTCACCTCGGCCTCTCAATGTTGTCCTCTTAAAGAGATGCTTTGTTTCCAGCTTGAACCTCCACCTCCCAGGTGGAGGTGCCACAACCTCCACCTCCTAGGCTCAAGCGATTCTCCTGCCTCAGCCTTCCAAAGTGCGGGGATTACAGGTGTGAGCCCCCGCCCCAGCCTGATTTTGCTTTTCCTGTCTCTGAATTAACTGAAGTTTTATTCAAAATTTCTTGCATATGTACATTTGTCTGGGGAAAGAGGCTTTGACTTTCAATAAGATTCTCAAAGGGATCCAACCTCAAAGATGCTGAGAACCATTGTTCTAGGGATTTTCAAGAGAAAATAGAATTCAGGCTTAAGGAAGACTGGTTTGAAGTATAATTGGCAATTAAAAGATGGACTAAGGGCTGGGCGAGGCGGCTCATGCCTGTAACCTCAGCACTTTGGGAGGTCGAGGTGAGTGGATCACCTGAGGTCAGGAGTTTGAGACCAGCCTGACCAACATTATGAAACCCTGTCTTCACTAAAAATATGAAAATTAGCCGGCATGGTGGTAGGCGCCTGTAGTCCTGGCTACTTGGGAGGCTGAGGCAGGAGAATCACTTGAACCCGGGAGGTGGAGGTTGTAGTGAGCCAAGACCTCACCATTGCACTCCAGCCAGGGCAACAAGAGCAAAGCTCTGTTTAAAAAAAATAGAAAAGACAGACTAAGAAAATATTTTGATTTTAAATCACACAGGAGCTGTGGGCATTACTACCACCTTCATAAAGACACACATTGTGCTTACTGAGTAAATGTTCCATAATTCTTGGGTCCGACTATTGCAGACACAGCAATAATCACAGCCGGGATCCCGTAGCCTACAGGGTACATGAACCTCTTCTTGAATCTGCCCGTGCTGGTGTAGTTGGCTACCCTGAGGTTCCTGACAGTGAGGAAAAGGTGCAGCCCTTCCAGGAGCATCCAGGTGAAGGAAGCCAGGTAGAGGAAGTGCAGCAGCCCTGCAATCATGGAGCACAGCACCTGGAAGGGACGGAAGAGTTAGGGGTGTGCAGCAGGTGTGGTCTGTACCTGATTATATGCTCGGCACTTAGCATGCCATGGATGCTGCCTGGAATTTCAATTAGAGCACCTGTGACATTTTGCCTGGGGGCTACACTTTCTCTGAGGACTTCTAGCTATTGAAGTTTGTTTACATCATGCACAGAGCAGGGTAGAAACCCAAGGAATAGATGTCGTGGAAACAGCCCCCAAACGTATAATGGACAAAAATTGGTAGAATCTGCTAATATCTAAGACATGTGCTCTACACTGCCCCCTGGAGCTCCTCGGTGGAATTGAGTTCCAAATGTCCGTAGTGGAAACTGTCTTAAATTAAAACACGTCTATTGGCTAGGCACAGTAGCTCACACCTGCAATCCCCAGCACTTTGGGAGGCCAAGGTGGGTGGATCAAAAAGTCAGGAGTTCGAGACCAGCCTGACCAACATGGCAAAACTCCATCTCCACTAAAAATACAAAAAAATTAGCTGGGCGTTGTGGCGCTTGCCTGTAATCCCAGCTGCTCTGGAGGCTGAGGCATGAGAATCGTTGAACCTGGGAGGTAGAGGTTGTAGTGAGCCAAAATCGTGCCACTGCACTCCAGCCTGGGTGACAGAACAAGACTCTGTCACAAATAATAGTAATAATAATAAAATTAAAAAAAAAAAAAAAGAAACCCAAGGACTAGATATTGTGGGAACAACCTCCAAATGTATAATGGACAGAAACTGGTAGAATCTGCTATTATCTAAGACAAGTGCTCTACACTGCCCCCTGGAGCTCCTCGATGGAATTGAACACCAAATGTCTATCCTGGAAACTGTCTTAAATTAAAGCACATCTTTTGGCCAGGCACAGTGGCTCACACCTGTAATCCCCAGCACTTTGGGAGGCTGAAGTGAGTGGATCACCCAAGGTCAGGAGTTCGAGACCAGCCTGGCCAACATGGTGAAACCCCATCTCTACTAAAAATAAAAAAACTAGCCAGGCGTACTGGTGTGCGCCTGTAATCCCAGCTACTTGGGAGGCTGAGGGAAGAGAATCACTTGAACCTGGGAGACAGAGGTTGCAGTGAGCCAAGATCATGTCATTGCATTCCAGCCTGGACAAAACTCCATCTCAAAAAAAAATTCACATGCTGATGCTCTAATCCCCATTATCACAGAAGGTGACTGTACTTGAAAACAGGGCTCTTCAAGAGGTCATTAAATTAAAATAAGGTCACATGTGTGGGCCCTAATCCAATACAAGTTATGTACATCTAAAAATGGGAGATTAGAGCGCACACACACGCACACACACACACACACACAAACACACACACACACACAAACAAAGGGATGGCCACGGGAAGACAAAGGAGGAGACCGCCATCAACAAGCCAAGGAGAGGGGCCTCGAAAAAAGTCAACCCTGCTGACATCTTGATCTTAGACCATGAGCCTCCAGGACTGTGAAAAGATTAATTTCCATGGTTTCAATTGCCCCATATGTGGTACCTTGTTATGGCCGCCAGAGGAAATGGATATACTCTTATAGAAGTCATGCTTCATGATTTCTCATAATCCTCCAGATGTGTTCACAGACACAAAATTTCCCATTCCATGTGCGTGATAAGGCTCCATTTGTCATTGTGATAAAATAAAGAGGATGGGATTTACCCTCCCACATTAAACAATTAAAATAACATTGTATGACATTATGAGTTAAAGTACAGATATTGGAGAATAGGCATTGAATACTTATGTTTATAGTGATCTCTAAAAGGAGGAAAAAATGAGGTAACTTTCTCAGGCCTTCTACTCACTACTTTAAGAGAGTCTATGGGTCATTGCTCAGGGAGAAGTAACCCCCCAAAAGTCCAGCAGTCTTGCTGAATTGAGGAAATAAAGTTCAAAGTATGAGGAGACAGCTGGGTGCAGTGGCTCACACCTGTAATCCCAGCACTTTGGGAGGCTATGTTGTGGGTGAATTGTCTGAGGTCAGGAGTTCAAGACCAGCCTGGTCAACATGACGAAACCCCATCTCTACTAAAAATACAAAAATTAGCCAGGTGTGGTGGCAGGTGACTTTAATCCCAGCTATTTGGGAGGCTGAGGCAAGAGAATCGCTTGAACCCAGGAAGCGGAGGTTGCAGTGAGCTGAGACTGCACCATTGCACTCCAGCCTGGGCAACAAGAGCAAACCCCATCTGAAAAAAAAAATAAAAAAGAATTTGTGAGACAAAATACCAGAAAATGCTTGCAAGGAGACTAATCAAAACTAGGAAAAGCCTCCTAAAAAGGAGTAGACAGAACAACCTTCTGAGTTCACACAGGACTGGAACTATCTTGTTCCTATTCTCCAAATGGTTTGTTCCTATTACCCAGTTTTACCTGAAGTTCTGTGCGTCACGGGAGTCTAATACACAGATTACCTGTACGTTAGGGGAAATTTTCTGTAAATTGACTCTGTATGTTAGGGTAGACTCTCCTAACATCCAGAACTTCAGGTAAAATTATCAGGAAAGTATTATACCATTAACAGGGGCAAATTACCCCTAGACTTAAGAACATTCTGTAACCACTCTATGCAGTCTTAGAATCAAGACTTGAACATATCAAACTATTTCCAAGTTGCTTAATTATGTTCCCTCAAAAGCCTGAAAATGTTTGAAGAATTTTTTTTTTTTTTTCATGAGAAGGAGTCTCACTCTGTCACCCAGGGTGTGCAGTGGTGTGATCTCAGCTCACTGCAACCTCCACCTCCCGGGTTCAAGCAATTCTCCTGCCTCAGCCTCCTGAGTAGCTGGGACTACAGGCACCCGCCACCATGCCCAGCTATTTTTGTGTGTGTGTATTTTTAGTAGAGACAGTGTTTCACTGTATTGGCCAAGCTGGTCTTGAACTCCTGACATCAGGTGATCTGCCTGCCTCAGCCTCCAAAAGTGCTGGGATTACAGGTGTGAGCCACCGAGCCCGGCCTAAAGTATTTTTTTTTTTTTTAGAAAAAAGATACAGCACTCATAATTTAAAATTTACCAAGAATGCTTTCAAACAATAACTAGCAGCCCTGCAATGAAGCAGGTAAATCCAATCAGGTAGTATACACACATCCTATTGTTTCTGTCTCTCCAGAAACCCTGACTAACACAACTTCCTAACTACCGAATCCAGCAGTCTGTCTACTTGACGCTTCAGCAGAAGCTGGTCCGCCGAGTTGGCACTTGCTGTCCCTTGATTTCCTGGACACTCATCTATCCAGGAATTCTCACCTGCTTCTCTTTTACTGTTCTCGTATGTCTTGTACATCTTCCTCCTCCCAATCTTTAGATGTTGGTCTTCCACTGAGCCTTAACTTTTATTTTTTTATTATTTTTTTATTGAGACGGAGTCTTGCTCTCTCATCCAGGCTGGAGTGCAGTGGCATGATCTCAGCTCACTGCAGTCTCTGCCTCCCGGGTTCAAGCGATTATTCTGCCTCACCCTCCTGATAGCTGGGATAGTCTCGATCTCCTAATCTCATGATCTGCCTGCCTTGGCCTCCCAAAGTGCTGGGATTATAGGTGTGATCCACTGGCCTGGAGCACAGAGCTTTATTCTTAATCCATTTTACACATCAGGGATCATGATTTCTGTAGCTTGAAGTGTCTCTCTTGCAGGGAGAAAACTCCAGTATCCGTTTCTCCCACTCCAGTCTCTCCTGAGCTCAAAATTCCTATTTCCAATTTTCTAAAGTATGTCTCAATTCCAGTGTCTGACCAGCATCTCTAACTAACAGGTTTAAACCCAAATTCATTCTATGTCTAGCTCCAAGTTGGTTCCTTTTTCTCTAGCCTTGTTAATGACATCACCATCCATCGACCCAACCTCCCAAACAGAAATCCTCTAATTCATCTCCATTTCTGCTTTCTCGAACATGGACCACTTCCACATCTCTCTGGGCCCTAAGTCTTACCCACTCCCATCACAAGCATTTCTAAAACCTGGTCCACTTCCTCTAGCAGGTTCATATTTTTATTAACTCCAACTCAGACTATTCATAGCCCTATCGCTCTTCTTCCTGCTGCTAGTTTCATCTCACTCCAGTTACCTTTACCTTCAACTTTTGTTGTCTTGAGAAGTGTTTTCTGTCATTCCCAGCCTGAAGTCCTTTCCACTGCTGCCTTGAGCAGGGTTAGGAAATCTGTGGCTTTGGGGCAGTTCTGGCCCCATATCTGTTTTTCTAAATAAAGTTTTATTAGCACATGGCCACACACATTCATTTACTTTTATCTGTGGCCACTTTTGCTTGTTTGTTTTCGAGACAAAGTCTCTCTCTGTTGCTCAGGCAGGCGTGTGGCGGCATGATCTCAGCTCACTGCAACCTCTGCTTCCTGTGTTCAAGCGATTCTCCTGCCTCATCCTCCTATGTAGCTGAAATTACAGGCGTGCGTTAGCATGTCCAGCTAATTTTTGTATTTTTAGTGGAGACAAGGTTTCACTATGTTGGCTAGGCTGGTCTCAAACTCCTGACCTCAAGTGATCCACCTGCCTCAGCCTCCCAAAGTGTGGGATTACAGATGTGAACCACCATACCCAGCTTCTGTGGCTGTTTTCATGCTACAGTGGCAGAGTGGAGCAGCTGTATCAGCCTGCTGAAAATACTTACTGTCTGGCCTTTTATGGAAGACATTTGTCAACCCAGAAAATCTAATCTTAGCTTTTCATATTCTGACTCCAGCACCCTATTCATCCATTCTCCAACATTCTCCCTTACTTCCAGGAATGGGTTTCATTTGGATTCCAATTCAAACTGGAGTGATAGTAGCTTCCTGGAGCATCGTGTTGAGAAAGATTGCAAAACTTGGTGAGAAGGGGCCACAGTTGATTAGTGATGTCTGCACAGGCCTGAGAATGGAGTTAGGGCATTTTCATAATGTATTTACCATTCCTCCACAATGCCATGCTCATCAATGCCTCAGCTCCTTCAGATTCACGATTTCTCCTGCCTGGAATGCCTTTCC